CTCTTTCTTATCACATAGACAGGAGACCTTAAGTAATGGAAAGTGGGGGAAAATGGATTGCACAATGTTGCAAGCTGGATTTGAACTTTTGGCACCCACATGAGCACTATAGGTCAACGTTTTTATTTCCAAAACAATCCCATAGATGAGTGATGCATAGATTCTTAACATTTTGACTCAAAGACCCCACGTTTAGACCATATTATCTAGGGCTGCACGATAAATCGCATGTGATATTTAACACACATCTTGTCAGAAAGCTGGTTCTGTAATCAGCGGTAAATCTCCATCACGTGCGTGCTTTCACATTGAGCAGCATTAACTACACAGAGCCGTTGTTCACTGACGAGCTGCGCAAAAAATCGCGTGAATATGAACGTAGTTTTTGCTCTGTGTAGTTAATGCTGCTCAATGTGAAAGCACGCACGTGATGGAGATTTACCGCTGATTACAGAACCGGCTTTTCTGACAAGATGCGCGTTAAATATCGCATGCGATTTATCGTGCAGCCCTAATATTATCATTAATTTTGATTAAGTGTTATTTAAAAAAAAATTGATATATTGAGATTATTGTTCATAAATTTACGTTATAAATTTGTATTCCAGAACTGTATGTTTTTCAATAAAACAGTATTATTGAGAGAAAATAAAAAGACATGATTACGGTTACAATCTCATTTTGTTTATTTTTAGCATTTTTAATTTAGAGTAGATTTGCATTATTTTAATATAATAATTTATGTTCTGAATTCCAGAACAGATTATTAGATTATTAGAAATTAGATTATTTTAATGTTATGTTCCGTATTCTGTATGTTTTTAAATAAAAACAATAGTTGAGGCAAAATCAAAAGAAATATGATTTCAGTTTATATCTTCATTTTTTAAGCATTTTATTTTAGAGTTAGATTAGTTTAATATAATGTATTTTCTGAATTCCAGAATAGTAATTTGTTAAATAAAAACAATAGTTTTAAGAAATAATAATAATCATCATCATCATTTTACATCTTTTCTTATTTTAATTCAGATTAGAGTTAGATTATTTTAATATATTCATTTATGTTCTGTATTCCAGAACTGTATGTTTTAAATAAAAAAACAATAGTTATTGAGGGAAAATCAAAAGAAATATGATTTCAGTTTACATCTTCGTTTTTAAGCATTTTATTTTAGAGTTAGATTATTTTAATATAATAATTTATTTTCTGAATTCCAGAATAGTAAGTTCTTCAAAAAAACAAAACAATAGTTGAGGTAAAACCAAAAGAAATATGATTCAATTTAACATTTTAATTTAGATTAGAGTTATATTAATATAACAACAACAACAATAATAATAATAATAATAATAATAATTTATTAGTTCAAATACTTTTAAATTATTCTGTGCCCCCCTTTGGAAGTTTTCTGAGGCCCCCGGATTGAGAACCACTGCCCCACTAGACTTTCACTGAAGGAGGGACTTGAGCTATATCTGGGGTTTTGAATTTCATGAAGGCATAGCAACATGTTTTTACCACTCACAGCATTTTTATAACTTCCAATACAAGTGAGTAGTTTGGCTGAAAAGTTGATTCGTAGTTATGTTTTGCACTGTGATCCTTGTAGTGTCTGTACTTCATAAACAGCACCTGTTCCTCATTGTTTGGCAGTCTCGTCTTCCTCCTGACCTTCTATTCCCTGGTCTTTAACACTCATTCCTCCTCTGAAACCACAAGGATCTGTATCTGTTACTCATCACTCCTTCATTTGACTCATCGTTCTCCCTGATTCACTCATTCTCCTGCCCGCAGGTGCCAGACCATGATGTCACTTGTTGGGTGTTCCCATAAATCAGTGTGTCATGCCTTTGGTCATTCCTCACCTCCTCTGGATCTCTCCCTGCAGTCTGCGTGTGTGAGCCTAGCACATTGGTGCCATATGTAGTCGAAAACATCTGAACGTTCCTCTGTCTCCGCACGCACTTGTTTCCTGCTTTTCAGGAATCCAGCCACTGCTGGCTAATGGAACAGCTTAGTGTCATCATAATTTATTTCTAATGTATCCACACGCACACACGCTCTGATTTACACACAGCCAGTCTGTTTTCGACATTTGGGTGAACAAACACTGCAGCATTTCAGCCTCTCAGTGTGTTATACGCTGGAGGGAAACAGTAAAGCTCTAGAGATTAGATGGTTCTCTTACGTTCTCGCTTCATAAATGTCACAGGGGGTGGGAGGGCCCTCCTGTTCTGTGTTTACAACAGGTCGTCCGGCATGAAGCCTGCATGCGGTGCATCACTATGGGTGGGAGTGTACAGTGGGGTTCAAAAGTCTGAGTAGGCAGTAGTCAGAAGTCTGTATGTATGCATGTATGTGTATGTATGTATGTATATATAGACAGACATATTTATATAATTATAGACATATAATACTTTCATTGAAACTCTGGCAGCTATCCAAATGGGATTGCAGAGATAGCAATGATATTAACAAATGTTAAATAACAAAATAATAATGTTTTTTATGGTTAATATTTAAGATTATATTGAGATACTATAGATTTTTTTGTGAAAAGACTGATTAATTAAAAAAAAAAAACTTAGTTAAATGTATTAAAAATATTAATTACAAATATTATATTTAATACATTGAATTTGATAATTAAATGAATTACATAATTTCTTAGTATAGCTTTAACATTTTTTTGCCATTTTTTGAAGTACTGAAAAGTTCTCTCTCTCGCTCGCTCTTTTGCTCTCTCTCTCTCTCTCTCTCTCTCTCTACACATACAGTGCCCTCCATAAGTATTGGAACAGTAAAGACAATACTTCAGAAATCTGTGAATATTTTTAAAAGATGAATATGAGACAAAACTACAAATTGTCATATTTTATTATTGGGTGTTTCAACACACATGTTTTACCAACTAAGAAGATCAACACTTTTAGAGTTTCATCCTCCTATCTGATGTGAGCATAAGTATTGGAACAGTTGCCTCACAGGTCTTTCTAAGTGATCATTCGATGCATTCGATGACGACACACACAAACCAGAATGAAGACGAGGGAGCTGACTTCGAGAGAAAAGCAAGCAATTTGGATGCTAAAAGAAAAGAGGAACTCAATTAGAGCTATAGCAAAAACAAAGGGCATGAGAAATCAAGAGTTTGGAAACCACCGGTGACATCAGCAACCAACAACGACCTGATCAGCTGAGAAAAACAACAGCAGTTGATGACAGACAAATCATAAAAGCTGTGAAAATAAACCCTAAAATATGTGTCCGTAAAATCACCAACAACCTCCAGGAAAAAAAAAAATATATATATATATATAATCCAACTAGGATTGTAGTGATATAAACAAAAAGAAGTTCTAAATTAATAATGGTTTTTAGGGTTAATGTTTTTTTGTCTAAATTTATATTGGGATACTACCTACAAATTATATTTTTTTGTGAAAAGATTCATTCAAAATATATATTTATAACTTATCAGTTTAATTAGAAATCAGCAGTTTGGAAACCACCGACCAACCATCTGCAACCAACAACGACCTGATCAGCTGAGAAAAACAACAGCAGTTGATGACAGACAAATCATAAAAGCTGTGAAAATAAACCCTAAAATATGTGTCCGTAAAATCACCAACAACCTCCAGGAAGCTGGGGTGATGCTCTGACGATCTACTGTCCACAGGAGACTTTGACACAGAACTACAGAGGGTACACGGCAAGATGCAAACCTCTGATCAGCAAGTATGCAAAAAAAGCACAAATGTGAGCCAGTATTTGGGAACAGAGTTTTATGGACAGACGAGACGAAGATGAACCTTTTTATCTAAGTGATGGGAAAGCAAAAATGTGGAGAAAAAGGGAACTGCAAATGATCCTAAGGCATACAGCCTCAGTATTGGGATACTACCTACAAATTATATTTTTTTGTGAAAAGATTCATTCAAAATATATATTTATAACTTATCAGTTTAATTTTATTCAAAATATTAATTTAAAATTATTACATTGAATATACTGAATTTGTTAATTTAATGAATTTCATAATTTCTTTGTGTAGTTTTAACTGTTTTTTTATCCATTTCTTAAAATACTTACATTTTATTTCAAGGTTTAATTTATATTTTGCATTCTAGAAGTCTTTATTTATTTTTTTAACCTTATTGTGCCACTTGATAGCCTTGAATCATCATGAATTGAGGCCAAACCTTGACCCAGTAATCTTGATGTAAAGACTATTCTCTCCAAACATGGGACTGGAAGTCCTCACATACATCTGACAGCTTAACTTGCGTTGCGGTCTAGTCTGCTTTACCTTTAGTAACACTTTGTGTAGTTCGTCAGGATGCACTGGACTCTTTCTCCATATGAATCACTCTGGCCCGGGGGCAGCCATTTTGTGGGCCTCATGTCAATGGCAGGCTATAAAACAGTCTGGGGGGTCCGATGGTGCTCCTGACATCTCACTACTCGCAAGCTGTGGCAGCAAACGTAATCTGGCTGAGGTTGCCATGGCCGTGATGTAAATGTATGTTAAAAAATGGGAATGATTATATTTATTTTAATTTTGTCTGAGATTAAATAGAGATACAACCTCCATTTCTTCTCTCTCATGTCACTTCACTTGTGTTTCACTTGTTATTCTTATTTTGGGGGTCATTATAGTTCTCAGTGCCTCAAAGAGACCAATTAGAGTGGGAGTGAGACAGGAAAATGAAAGACTGCATGGGACGTAAAGGCAAGCTATGTAGTCTAATTATAAAACATCTGAGGAAACCAGGGTAGCAGGGTGCCTTACAGTGTTTTTGTCAGAGCTGTTATGTATTTACTTTGTTTCACCATCAAGCACGTTCCACGTTTACCCTGCGTTTTATTCTGGAGCAGCCGCATCCTCCTTCCTCACATTTACTGTCATTATTTTTTATTTGCACTCCAAGATTCCCGTCTTCACTGCTCTCCCTTTCTCTAACACTTTTTTATATGTATGTCACTCTTCCAGACATCCCAGAATGCTCATCAAGACCGGCCTGCTGGATGCCCACCTGTACTGCCTGAAGAGATCTGTGGTTGATTTCTTAGTACACAACAAGTAAGTCAAGATTTCCCAATGAAGGAAGAATTTCACAGCTTTCTGTGTCCATTCCTGCCAGTTGCATGTTGTGCCAAAGAATTCACATGCACTTTATGAGGATTATTTTGATGAGCCAAAAAAGAAGAAAGTTTTAGAATTTAAGTTACTACTTAAGAAGAAATAATAAGGTCTGCAAATTTATGACACTGACCGCATGAACTCCTTTTGAACGCAAGGTCAGATGTTGCATCCATTGAATCAATTTGCTCAAATCGTGCTGGATAACATCCAGATCATCAGGTTTTACACAAACTTTTGGAGTTCATGCTGCTTGCGTGCTGCTTTTATTAAAGCTAAATACTAACAAAATCATGTTCATTTTTCAGTTTAACTTTCCTCTCAAATTGTTATGAAGATTTTTATATAAGATTTTTTATAATGACTAAGTTTGTATTGAATCAGAAATGTGTAAAAAGGAAAAAAAATGATACATTTTTCTGTAAAAGTAGTTTTAAAATGTACAACCAGAAAGCACAATCTGTCTGAACCGCATGTGAATTTTGAACACATCACCTGCTATTAAATATGGTTTTATTATCTTACAAACTGATATCAGAAGGTCATTAAAATCTTTTCCAATTTCTTTTTATTTTCCTCACATAAAGACAACATGAAATGGCATTCGCAATGCATTTTATAATATAGCTCATTTATTGTTGTTATATTGTATTGTGGGACTTTTAGGTGTTCTAGTTAATTAAATAAATCTTTTATATTTATATTGGGAGAGAGCGGAATGTAATTGAATAAATTAATTTTTTCTTGTATTTGTTTTTTTTTTTACTGTAGTATAATTAAAATCACTTGAATTTGAAAGTTAATATGTTAAAGTTTTACTTAAAGCCTAAATTAAAAAACAAAAATTGCTTTCTGCACTTCATGACAAGCATCTTATCAGCACCCCTTTCACATAACTAGTCATTCCGCAGTGTCTCTAATCCTGGAGTGGGCCTGTGTCCTCTACAGTCCACCCCTCCATTCCTCCCTCAGCTCTCCATTCATCCTCTCCAATAGCCCTCCATTCCCCTGCCCCTCCAGTCCCCTTTGTGCTCCTGTAACTGACATTGTGAGGCCAGGCAGCCCGCTGTAAAGTGGTGCGGTGCATGGCCTCTCTTAGGTCCTCTCCCTCTCACAGACTTCAGAAAAGCGTGAGGCTTCTCTCCGCTTTGACATTTTAATTCACTCTCCCCCTGATATAAATATAATTTCATCTGATCTGCCCCCCCCCAGCCCTCCCCAACTCCCCACTTTCCCTCATCAAAGTAGTTTGACTTTTTTTATGCTGCTTTTTCTCTGTCTCGTTCTCATTCTTTTTTGCCCTTCCATCCCTCCCTCCCTTCGTCTCGCTCTCTCTGTCGCCCTTGAGCCTGCAGTGCCATGGAGTACTGAAGGAGAAAATGGACATAGTAACTGTTGTGTCTCTCTCTGCATTCAGTTGGAAATTCTAATCTTGCCTAAAAGAAAATAAAGAGAGAGAGAGAGAGAAAGAGAGAGAGACTGGTTTAAGGAGTGATGTAGATTTTGAATTGCTCCTCAAGTATACATGATTTTTTTCAAACCGTGATTTATATCTTCTATATACTGTATAAGAGACCATAAATTCAATTGGACATTGAAATGTTAAAATGTTCCTCTTTGCTTTTACGTCTCTTGCATTGATTTTAAAATTTTCCCTTTTTTTTCCCATTATGAATGTCTTGACATACGCTGACTGAGCAATTGTGATGTGTAAATATAGAAATAATGGGCTTTATGAATGTTGTTTCAAATTATTATTATTATTATTATTATATTTAATTTATGCAGCTAATCCTCCTTTTTCCCATTGGAAATTCCCAAAGCATATTTTTTATCTTTAGTCATACGCTTCCATTCAATAGTAGAGTCCGTAAGATAATTAAGACAATTATATACGTATATATATTAGGGCTGTGCAAAAAAATCAAATGTGAATCTCGTCAGTAAAGCCGCTTCTGGTGATTAGTAATAAATCTCCAGCACGTGCGTTCAGATGGAGCGGCATTTACTACACAGAGCCGTAGATCACTGACAAGCTACACAAAATCGCGTTCAAAATCGCAGGCGATTCATTGACGATTTTAAAACGCGATTTTGTGTAGCTTGTCAGTGAACTATGGCTTTGCAAATGGCTGCAATATAACAAAGAGTGAAAAATTTAAGGGGGTCTGAATACTTTCCGTACCCACTGTATATTAGAATGATTTCTTAAAGATCATGTGACTTTGAAGACTGGAGTAATGGTTACTGAAAATTCAGCTTTTCCATCACCGGGATAAATGACATTTTATAATATATTTAATTAGAAAACAGGCATTATGATTAAATTATGATATTTCACACTATTACACTTCTGAATGTATTTTAACCAGGCCCGTTTTGAGAATCAAATCACTGAGGGTGCTTCTTAAATTAGTGAGTATAAAATTGTTTTTCGAAAGAAATTAATACTTTTATTAATTGAGGGTGCATTAAATTGATCAAAAGTAATAGTACAGATATTTATAATGTTACAAAAGATTTGAACAACTTTTGAGCTTTTAAATTCATCAAATAATAATGAAAATTGTTTTTTTTCACAAAAATCTTAAGCAGCATAAACATTTTCAACATTGATGAGACAAAATGTTTCTTGAGCACCTTATGTATTTTAACCAGGCCCGTTTTGAGAATCAAATCACTGAGGGTGCTTCTTAAATTAGTGAGGGTGCTCTAAACTTTAGTGCCATCCATTGCTATGGCGCAAAGAGCGCTCCTTTTATAATCGCTAAAAAGCTGTCACTTGATCATCTTAGTTCATCGCGATCTCACAGTTACGTTAGAATCAATGAAGTTCTATATGTGATTGGCTACGTTGCTAAACTCTGCAAAAACACGTTGAAATAGAAACCGTTCTCCAAAGAGCAAAACATAACACACTGGGTAGTTTGCCATATCTGCAATAAAATGCCATTATTACAGCTTTAACTGAGGGTGCTACTGATTTCGTTTGAGAGTGCTTAGCACCCTCTAGCACCCCCGTAGAACCGGGCCTGATTTTAACCAAACAAATGTAACATAAGAAAGCATAAAACATAAAAATTAACCAAGCCTTGGAATAGTAGTGTTAAATTGACAGCCTTTTATGTAATGGCTATTCATTACTTTACTCTTCTGCCACAATAATGCCTTTGAATTAGTTAAATAATTAATCAATTTGATAGAATAATAGCATATACACTACCGGTGAGAAAATTATTTTTGTCTTAAATGACTGACAGCCCTGCTTTAAGTACAAGCTCAAACCTGTGTTGTTACCATATGCTTTTATTTACAGGTCTGTCACCTCAATCAGGGGGGAATTAGTGCCATATTTGGTGCGAAAGCAATTCTCCAAGTCTTTAAACTCCAAAAATGCAACAGAGGATACAGAGAAGAATCAAAAACAACAGGATGCTCACCACAATTTGGGTACGCTTCCACTTGTAATGACTCGCATTTGCACAGTTCATATTTGTCATCCTTTTAAGAGAATGTTTGGTGTACATAATAAATGGTGTCCTTTCAAAAACCACATACATGCCTTCACAGAGCTCCTCAGCACTAGTAAAGAAGAGGCGCTGCTCCAGCTTGCCCGGGAGAGGTCATGTTGGAACGATCATCGTGGAGACATGAGTGAGGCCTACCATGGCGGAAAGCTACGCTGCTATGTTCACATCATGGAGGAGGGCATGTGTTATCGTGTGAACACGCTCGCGGCTTATATAGAGGCCAATCGTGTGGTGAGAACAAACTGAAAGAACTGTTTCAATGGCACATTTTCCTTTACAGTGAACTGTCCGCAAAACAGTCGTTTGAGACACTGCAATGGCTGCACTGAATTATGGTTTCCTTTATCCCTTAGGTTCCAAAGCTGTTTGAGGACCCTCCAATCCATCCGACTGCTGTGGTCTCAGAACGCTCCTTGGTGAGTCCCATAGATATGTCACAAATATGATGCTGTCTGTGATTAAAAATGCATATTGTAAATGTATATTGAAATACATTACTCCTCAAATAAAGTAATGCCGTCTTTTTTATTTAGGTTGGAAGTGACAGCATTATTGGGCCAATTTGTCAGATATCAGAGAAGACATCCATCAAGCGTTCAAATGTTGGCACATCATCTACAATCAAGGAGAAGGTGAAGATCACCAACTCCATCATCATGAATGGAGTCACTATTGAAGAAGGGTAAGTGATCTTACTCAAGTGCATTCTGAATGTTTGTGAGAATATGATTCAGAAAGAGTCTTTTTATGGGTAATTTATTTGTAAATCAAACCCAGACAGGATGTTTGACCAAACTAACGTCATTTGCATTCTTTGAGTGGTTAAATGTAATAATATTTAAAAACATACTAATAAACAGCAGTATTTAACTAAATAGTTTAAATAAATAACTAAATCATGTTGCTGCAATAGATCAAATAAAGCCAAATGCATTGCAGACTTTTGGAAACACTTTCCAGCATAGACTGTCAATTTTTTTTTTTTTTTTTTTTAACCAGTGTTTTTAGCAGCTTTCCAGTGGTCATGGACAACCTGGAAATATTTGGGAATTTTACAATGGTGATTTTCAGAGCTAGAGAAGTCAGAGGAATTAATTAAATTATTAAAAAAAAAAAAAGTCTTGGAAATGTCAATATTGAATATAATCTTATGCTTAACTCATTTGTCAGTGCAGTTGCTATGATTTAGGAGCAAACAAAAATAACACAGGAAAATCATGGAAATTTGTTGGTCAGAAGGCATTGGAACCTTGATTTAAAAATGAAAATGAAATGATATGATTTGCTTAAATTAATCAGACTTGACAGAGCCCATCTGCAAGATTGACATATTGGCTATTATATATATACAATTTTGGGATTTTATCTCATAATGCTCACTAAGGCAACATTTGTTTGATCGGAAATACAGTAAAAACAGTAATATTGTAACATATTATTACAATTTAAAATAACTTCTAACTTCTTTTCTATTTTTATACATTTTAAAATGTCATTTATTCTTGTGATTGCAAATCTGGATTTTCAGCAGCCATTACTCTTCAGTGTCACATGATCCCTCAGAAATCATTCTAATATGCTGATTTCTTACTGCCATTAATGTTGAAACTGTATGTGCTGCTTAATATTCTTGTGGAAACCATGAACATTTTAAGAATTATTTGATAAAAGCATCTTTGAAATAGTTAAAAATGTACTTTTAAATAATCAAATTTATATACCAGTTTTTATACCAAGTTTTTTACTGTCATTTATCAATTCAAAGCGTATAAATTTCAACATTTTAAATAGTAGTGTACATAGTGTACAAAGCCTTTGCAATTTCATGCACCCCTGTGTCATCCTGTACCGACCACACGTCTAGGATGACAGACAGATTGGCTGTCTCCAGAGTATTTAGTGGTTTGGATCAGATGTTCAGCGTGTAGAAACAAAAGTTCCGATTTTGTCTGTTAGGTTAAAAGTGGGCTTGACGTAGACACAATGCGCAGAGAGACTGACCCGTTTCTGCCTGAGGGTGGTGTTGGGGTGGATGCTGCTGCTTTTTGTTGTGTTGAGCAAAAGCAGAAACTTGCGTTGTCAGACCCCTAAAGGTGTTCGCTGACCCTGAACAGGCCCCCGGTACAACAAATGAACAGAAAAGTGATGAATGTAGATGTAATGATTCCCAAAGAAACAAGTGTCTCGCTACAAGTATTACATGCACGAGTAAAAGAAGCCTCAGCAAACATTCACATCTCGCTAAACTTGCATGCTTCTTTTCTGACATCATAGACTTGTGAATGAACAAAGATTTTTTTTTTTCTTTGCCCACAGTTTTTTTGTTTTTTTTTCTTCACCCAAAACGGTTTAGATTTAAGCTGATTTGGGTTAATGGCGATCTCGCTTGCCATTGAACACAGACTGTCCCAAATCAGCTCTGGGTGGTAAAGAAAAAGGACCCCCTGTTAGGTGGAGACAGCTTTGGTTTAAACCAGTTTTTCCCTTCAAAAAAACAAGCTTGGAGCCAACGTGGCGACCCTCGTGTATGAATTAGCCTGTGCATGAAGAGTGGAGTGAAAGAAAGGATAGAGGAAGGAAAGAAAGGAACAGCAACTCTTTCAAAACATAAAAAAGTAAGAAGGGATTAGGAAATCCCTGGCATTTAAAAGCGCCACTTGCATTTTTCGGCCCTTTGTTTGCATGTAGGAGAGGTTGTTTACAAAGCTCGGGAGGTTCGGGGTTAAGGGGAAGGG